ATGAGCCCCACTCCAATAACTTCAATTACTTTATGTGACGAAGCGAGCAACTGAAGACGACAATTGTCGATGCTACTTATGTTTGTGAAATATTATATACTTCTCTCCGGCCCGATCTTTGTTTCTGCGCCTGTCTTTCTCTCCAGCTCGACGCAAGCTCGCAAGCTTCTCGTTGCAGGTGACAGCTGGTTGTTCTGATGACACTTCCTTCTTCTTTTGTTGAACCGGCAAAGGCTTCCTTTGCCCACATTGTGCGAAACCCCCAGGTGGAGTCCGCGGTGGTATTCCCCTAAAACTATAAGGAATGTCGCGATGACACAGATGATTGTCCTTTTGTTAAGAAAAGAAGTAGGAAAGATGGAAAAACAGTGGGAAAATAACAATTTTTTTCTCTGACTCAAAAATTTCTACCCTGACAGAAAAATTCAAGTTTGCTCTTATTGGAAAATTTCAATGGGGACACCCACCTATGAAGGTACACACTCACCTATGGAGGCTATCAGAAAGAGCGTAGATAATCTTAAGCCAGTAGGCAAGTGGAAGGTGATACTTATATCGTTTCATACTCTATTCAACCACTTCTTGGGAGTGCTAACTTTCTAGTGATCGTACATGTCACTAAAATACTTTCTCACCCAGGAAAACCAATCAAAAAGAAACTCTCCTATATCCACTACATGTTATTGCATTGGAATATATCGCTTCCACTATCGAAAAAATATTGATTGCTTAATGAAGCACAACCCATGGCCTGCTCGGAGACACTCGTGACTACTCTTTTATAGTTGTAGCAAACAATGCCACTAGAGGAAGGAAAGTTTAAGCTCAATAATGTACTCTCACGATTGTTCTATAAAGCTAGGATAATAAGACTTGACAGTGGAGAAAAATGTTATTACAATCGAAAACATAGAAAATCTATTATTGAGTACCGATCAGGTAGATCACTCACTTTGATTTTTTATTGTTTATTTAATAACCTATAAGTGTAACATATCTTCTCATTCTTTTTTTTTTCTTCTCTAATTTTCTCATTCTTCTCGCACTATCCTATGAAAGAGCTAAGAGACCAGAGGAACTAAATGCATATCCAAAAATATATTTCCTCACTAGTAAGGTAGCCCAAGTAGTAAATAGGTCTCATGGTCCTAATGAATCAAGTACACTAATCATGTCGTTGATGTCCTAACTCTGACTAGGCCAATTATGGTCATTAGCCATACTTTTGGAGATGACAAGCTACAAAGCTTTTTGCCATTTAGAACAACCTAGCAAGCAACTTTGAAGCTCGTAAGCACTTACACGAGTTCCTCTGATAGGTCTCACTAATCATGAGTCTTCGGGCGAGCTTCTAAAGCTGAGCTCACTAATACTTTTTGAGTTCTTTTACTGAAATCGCTCATACCAGTAAAGACCACCTACCGAGCTCACTGATACCTAGTTGCATCACCAAACTCGTTGAATAGTTCTTTAAGAAAAAGAAGAGAGAACTTTGTTTCATCATCATACATATCTATTAATTAGCCGCATGACATTCAGGTTGAGGATTTTATCAACTTGAATATATGTAGGCTTTGTTTAGTACAATCTACGATATATTCTTTATTTATTCTTTAGACTGCTTGTTGGGCATAGACTCTCTATGTAGTATATATCAGAGGTAAATTGAGAGAAGTCGGGGACTTCTCTCTCTTTCTCCCCCTTTTCTTCCAATCTTCCTCTTTTTTCTTGGTCATAATTGAGTGAGAAAGACTCTTTACAAATCTTTGGCTCCCTTCCACCTCTTTCGCAAAATATCTCCCAGGTTGTATAGATTCACAAATTATATGGGATCATCTATATATAGTTTTTTTTTTTTTTTTTAATATTTTTAAAAACATTCATCCTAATTTTTTGATAAGTTGAGTATTTTAAAATAACTTCAATCACAAGTTACTCTCATCAGTAGCCTTTTATTTATCACTGTTAACCATTTTCGGTTGTTGTTATTGGTGATGAAACCACCAACATATAATTAAACCAAAAAAAAAAAAATTAACATATGAAAAGTATTTTATTTAAAAATAATAATTATAAGCATTCATGTTCTTATGTGAAGGATCTCCACTCATACCAATTCACTTATACCAATTTGCTAATACTATATATTTTTTTGACTAAATGAGACTTATCAAGCAAACTAGTAAATATTATATATGCGCTATTTATTTTCTAATCAAACCAGCTTTGTTGAGGTGTTACGTACTGAACTTATAAAAACAAAAGTCTTTCGATGAAAGGGTTACTAAATGAATAACTAAAATAAACATACAAAAGAACAAAAAAAGAAGAACAATTAAACAATTAAGTATTCATCTTTTTTTATGCATCATGAGCTAAAATTTTAATTTAATTTAATCTAAATAATATATAAATCAAACTTAAATTCTAATTTATTCACAAGCTTTAATAGAGTTTATTGACAAGCATTCAATTGAGCTTATTTATGAAATTTAAATAAATCTATTCATCCAGTTTCATCACTTAATAAAATAAGAAATGAAATCATGCAAAACATAACCAAAACACAATGCAAAAAAGACCCCATCTTTGACCCACACATGCATTAAACCAAATTGAAAATCACTTCTTCCATTCAATCTTATTCATTATTTGTATTCTCAAAAACGAGGAATTTAAGAAAATTATTCTCATCATCATATCAACAGGAGAAAAATTTACGTACGTAAGACGAATGCAGCGTTGCGTACGTCAGGGAGGTTATTCAAAGGGTATTAGGGGGTTATATCTGCGTTATATCCCTTGTAACATTTTTGTAACCTACCTGTAACATACAAATGTGTGAAAACAGAAGTGTGAGACTTACGAGAAGGTACAGATAGATTATAGGTAGGTTACAAGGAGATTACAGGGGGTATAACGCGAATATAATCCCCTAATAAACATCTGAATAACATCTCTAAAATACGCATCGCTGCGTACATACGCAAATTTTTCGCCGTCAACAGAACTTATCCAACAACTCTGTAATATTTCGATCAGAGCTCCCACCATCATCCATGGCCCGCCTCGAAGCCTCCTTCCACTCCCCCAACCTCGCATCAGTACATTGATCCGTCCACTGCGGCAACCCCACCATCGCCACTCCCAAACCTAATCCCTCGATTGTTGAATTCCACCCACAGTGTGTCACAAAGCAGCCAAATTTACCGCTTGCAAGAAGCTCCAGCTGAGGAGCCCAACTCACCAACATACCCCCATTTTTCTTTACAGTGCTGTCTGGGAAGCCCGGAGGCAATTTAGCTTTTTCTGAGGAGCGGACTACCCAGAGAAATGGGCGGTTGGTTGCAGCCAAACCGAAGGCAAGTTCGGCGAATTGGGCAGCAGAGAGAGTGGCCATGCTGCCGAAGGAGACGAAGATGGCCGATGCTGGTGGGAGCGAAGCGATCCATGATTTGCAGGCAGAGGTTTCTGGGCGAAAGAGATCGATGGCGTATCTGTGGTCGTCGGGGATGCGGTTGTCTAAGTAGACGGAGGGTATTGTTGGCCCGATTGTTATTGCGCGTCGCACTGAAGCTAACCAGTTCATTTCCTGCAACAAGATTTGGTTGGTAGCCGGGTATATGTTGTCTGTGAAAGCTCGTGTTCGGTTCGTTAAGAAATTTATGTTTAGCTCCTTCGCTAAGTTAACGAGTTGAACACGAATAAAATTTTTTTCGTTCTTGTTCTGCTCGTTTCAACTCGAAACACTACTCATTAATTTATATATATATA